GCAATTTGTGCTGCCAATCTAAAAAGGAGATCCTAGCTACCACATGACCTGAAGCTTACGCCATAAGCAGTGCAGACAGACATACTAACGATCACATGAAGCAGTCTATACTTACTGATCGCTAGCTGCTACCTGGTGGTGGATTATTTCAGCGACCTAACCATGGTTGCGATGGTAACATAGACAGGAATTCTTCTGATATTTCGCAGTCTCTTAGGTCTGAGGGAGCCAGGTAGGCCTGCATTTGAGGTTGGTCAGGCATGCGCCGTGGCTAGGACACCGCGCACACAAAGCTGAATCAGCACTGGCTGCTAGACAATTTTGTGCGATTGTTATTACGACGATCATGGGGGACATTATTCCCATTGAAGTTGGTAGATCAACCTAAGCGATCGAGTGAGTTGTAATAAGAAGCGGATTGGTTGTTTTTGCTGAGATTGCAACGCTTACAGGCTGTTGGAATAGAAGCTTTGAAGGTTTACACGAGCGAGATGACATACAATTTAGTAGTGAGAAGAAACGGATTGCTTGATTGTGTTGAGGCTGAAACCCTTGCAGGCTGTTGGAAGAGATGCTTTGAAGGCTTACAAGAGCGAGATGACATCTAATTGAGTAGTGATAAGAAGCGGATTGGTAGATTATGTTGAGGCTGCAACTCTTGCAGACTGTTGGAAGAGAAGCTTTGAAGGCTTATGGGTTGACTGCACGGTTGCGTTCCTTGCTCGCTTGCCTTTCTGGCCACAAGGGTATTCATGCCACTGCGAGTAATCTGGAGAATCGATAGGTGTTCGATTTCGTATAGGAAATACGTGTGATTGTTAAGGAAGTGTGAGGTAATCAGAAACAATGAAGTACTTAGTACGACGGAGGCAAAGCTAGGACTTGTCCGTAAATAGAAGTTTTAGAGCCTTTACAGCTACAAGGTTCCTGTGTTGTGTTGTTTCAGTTGGCCACACACTCATGTGAATAGTGTAGCTACGTACTGCTGATGTAGTCGGCGAATGGTATACTAAGGCCAAGTTCGCTGTGTAGGTAAGGCTACCAGTGGATATGTAGCCATTGTTCCAAAGAGGAGGGTTCCTAGTGTGGCGGTGACACGACATTAGTATGTTCGTTCGTCTCCACAACTGTGGGCCACTTCGATAATCAGTTACCGCTACAGGCCCCATGGACCTGCCGTTACGTTAAGATTGTAGGATGCATGTCAATCCTACGTTTCAACATGATATTTACACTTCACTTCCAGGTGATTAATAAGCTTGAAATATCAAGTGACCCTACGGCCCTGATATGATCTGCCTACGAGCATTGCATACGCATTGTAAGCATACAGTTTGGAGCAATTTTCCTCCTTCAACAATGTCTCCGGAATTACCTACTTTCCAATGACACAATGTTTCCGAGTAGTTTCCAAGTCGATAACAACCTGTGTCACGGCGTGCACACATGATTGCTTCTAAGACTGGCTGAAACAGTGGCCCATAGCAGGATTAGTGGGCGCTGTTGCCTTAGTAAATGATTGCAAACATGCTGTAGGAACACCCGTGGGTGAGACAACAGTGTGTGTCTGTTCCAAGCACTCACCTGAATTACCAGAGTAAAATGCCTGCGTCGCCACTAATTATCAGTCTTGCATTTTTTCTAGCAGGACGATGTGGCATGTAAAAATACGGTAGTCACTGTAGCCCCTTTAGGTGGTTCTTTGTTGAGTAATGCCGATTTCATGAAGATAGCATTCCAGTTCATGGGCGTAATAGGGAGGTTCCATCTGCATTGACTGTGCTTCTAATGGTGCCATTCGGAGAGCCACTTGGCAAAGCGTCTCAACACTTATGGGCGACCATATGGAAGTAAAGCCTAATTATCTTATGAATACATAGGTTCCTATGACTTTTAAATAACTCCATACCTGGAGACACTGAAGCGATAACTGAGTAACGATGTTGCCCATGGGTGTGAAGACAAACGAACACTCACTAACGTCGTGTCAACGCCACACTTGGAATCCTCTTAGTTTGTGTTTAGTCATCAACTGTGATAGAAGTAAGCAAACATAGAACTTTCGTTGTTCAGCTTCAGGTTGATCTACCTACTTCAATGGGAACAATGTCCCCCATGGTCGTCGTAATAACAAGTGCACAAAACTGTCCAACCGCCTAGCAGGCATTGCTAATTCAGGTTTGGGTGTGCAGTGTCCAAGCCACGACGCATGCCTTACCAATCGCAAATGCACGCCTGCCTCACTCCCTCAGACCTCAGGGACTGCGGAATACCAGTTACAAGATTGCCTGTCTACGCCACCATGCTTAGGCCACCCTTAGGCTGTCGCTAGTGATCACCAACTATAGACCGCTTCATGTGCTGCTTACTATGTCTGTCCGCAGTGGTTAAGGCGTAAGCTTCGGATCATGTGGTAGCTAGGATCTCCTCCATAGACAGGCATCACAAGTTGCCCGTTGGACGATTTCAGTTTGGAGACCAATCATCGGGGTTTCCTTCAGATGGGCAGCAAGACAGAACAGGAGGTGGTGCTGGACCACTTTCATTGGACTGTCTGTCACTTAGGCTGGGGGCTTCCAACCGGTGTCCCATTGGCTAACATCCCATGACCATTGAGAGTGTCAACGACACCAAAACAGCGTTCTTAGCCTCGCTAACTTGAAAGCACTGCACGCAATTTCGAAAATATGTCGGGCTAGAAGCTTAGTACAATGTGCTAACATGCCTGTAAATTGGTACAGTGTGTAGGCAATTGCTGTCTGTTGGCCAATCTGTAGCACGTTGAGGCATGCCAGTGTTAGCGAGACGCGAAGACTCCAAAGGGAAACGGATGAACTGATGTTGTCCGCTTGGTTAAACATGGACTTGTCGACTGGATTGGAGGGACGCCCTGCGACTGTGCGTGAGTTGAAACTAGAAGACAAGCGACTATTGAAGCAAGGTGGGGGAGAGCCAAGAATTACGGAATTGAAAATGAGGGGGATAAAAGTAAAGTTGGAACGGGACGATAAAGCGTAAGAAGGGGAATAAGTAGACGGGAATGACTGAGCAGTAGCATCGAAATCCCTCATCCACCCTGCTCGATGCATCAGATAGAGCCCCGTTGATTATCCTCTGCGGTGACCAGAGCATCAATAAGCTGTTTGAAGAGAAATTCATCGTATTGCGTAGGCAGAATACTGTCAGGTTGCCTAGGCCTAGACAGGAGAACGATTAGGGTTCTCAACCAAAGCCTTTGGTACAAAAAACCTTACCAAAAGGCAGCGGGGTTTTGTCACTGGACTACAGAGAGCCTGTTTTATGGAATAAGGAGCCACCCTCATTCCAACCCCCAACCTGGAGGACCAGAAAGCTGAGTTTGTCTGGCCTCTAACCAATCTGGTATGAGTGGCTCTGGAAGTGCAAAAAAACACCACGCAGCATAGCTCAATGGATCTCTGAGACACGCAAACCATCGTATCACGGTAAGGTCTAGCCTCATTGCGATGAGCATCTGAAAGCACGATGCCCTTTTATCGTTTCTATATATGCTACAAACAAACGTCAAAAAATCAATTCTACGAACAAATGCTTTCTCATGACTATCATTAAGGATATCGTGGTTGTTGCAGATGGCATGAATGAGCAGAGTCAGAATGTGATGCCGGATGTCGTCTCGCAGTTGTTACATGTGGCTATGACAACGGCGAGCGTTTTCTTAACTGTGTGTTGACCACAGCCACCATACCAACAGCACGGTTTTCTAGAAAAAGTATTTGTGTTGGGTTGCTTCGCACCCGTCGAACAATATGTGGTCATGGATTTAAATTGATTACGTTACTATCGTCTGCATATAGTACCACCTTCAGCCGATCACGAACGCCTGCTGTGATCCCAATCGTTCTCATGTGCGCGAGTCGTACGGTTAGCCACTATTCGAATGACCAGAAACGTGAATATATTTACTATTGTGAACTGTATACACTCAAACGAGGCAATACAAAGTGTGTGATAGACTGCTGCAGATCTTCCGCTTACCGCGCTCTAAATTAGCTGATTTCCAAGGCTGCAAAGAATAAACGGAAATGAATGATTTCCATGAGCGATCTTTCTTAACATGAAGATATAAGCAAGTCACTTGAAATCCAGATTGTCAGCCAGTGGCCGAATGGATTACGCGTTTGCGCTTTAATTTCTAGGTCGCCGGTTCGAATCCGCGTAGGTGTGACAGATTTCGCAGTACACTCTGCTCTCGCACGAATGGTGGCGGTCGCGTGCTAGAGAAGGGTCGGTACGGCGCAACAGCGTACCGCTGACGTCTGCCTTTACCACAATGTCGAATGAGGTTAGCGGAATACGTGCGAATTTCGGCTATCCGTAAGACAGCTCGACGTAGGGCAAATACAACGCGGCAGTGAGGCTGAATCAACACTGTGTCGTCGTCCGGAGTAAATACTGCTAACATTGATCTGAAATCAAATGAATGTGTTGAAAGTTTTCGGTGGTTCCTATGTAGGTTACTGCAAAATTTAATACTATCATAAAGTTCCCAGACTAATCCGGATACCAGATACGCCGTCTAACATGAAAACTTTCTTTCACCATTCGTGTTCTCGGAGCCTGAAGTAAACCTTCATGATGCTTTGAATAGATACTGTCGAATACGCCAAATCGATAGCGTGTGGCAATGGGCTTGCAAAGGCAATCAATAATCGCATCAATTGTTACTTTGGCCAGGAGCGAAAGCAGCGAATCTATTGCACAGGATGGTGGAAGCCGTACACCTTTGCAGTTAGCTATATTTCATTGTTTGAGCAACAAATAGGACGCTTACAGCGCCTAATGGACTGAGAGAGTTTTAATTCTAATCAACACCACTATTGACATTTGAGTACTGGAATACTTACAGTTGTGACACAATGGATGAAGCTAAGCTGTGCGGACTAACGCACTGACAGAAAGACCATACTGATGTGGAAAAGTGGACTGGTTAGTAGTTAAAACAGAGCACAGAAACTAACCTCACTCAAAGCCGCCACCAACTCCTTGTGGAGGCGCTTGAGAAGCTGTTCTTCGCTGTTATACTGTTCTTGAATGGATTGTAATTGGCCCTTGCTCCGAGCTTCTGCGGTGACCAAATTGTCCACGTGTTTGCTTAGCAAGGCTGTTTCCTCCTCCAGCTGAATTGCCTACATAAAAAGGAGGTTGCATGATGTGGTGCAGTAAACAACGGTATGGTACAGAACACAAGTCAGTTCATCAAAGGCGATATGAGAACCGAAGTACCACAAAATAATTGCAGTAACAAGAGTAGCATAAAAATAGAGAAACACAGGTGGGTCTTTAACCGAAAATGGATGAGTTAGTCCTCACAACTTGTGAATTAGATTACCGACTTGTCGACCTAACCATATCGAAAGTAGATCCTAAAAACCGAGGATGTAACCAATCACGAAGACGACATTAACAAAGTTGGGTGTTTCTATCAATCTACCCATATCGCTTCGCCAGCTTATCAATTGGCCACACTGCGACCTTAACCACAGGTGTAGTACTGGCAGTTAACACACACCGAGGTAAAGATAGAGCAGGCTTCCGAATAGCTAAACGCAGTTGCACCGTTGGAACTTGATTGTAAACGGAAAACGAACGATTTGTACTAGACGTGGAACATCGTGTAGAGTTCATGGATGTCACGTGAAAAACACGCGGGTACTCCTGCCTCATGACTATAAAGGCCCTGTTGCTAACAATCGGCAGACTACAGGGAGGAACTCCTAAATATTCCGTCTGCCATACGCCCAGTGAATGCGGTTGTGATGAGAATCTTTCTCAAGAAAGTGCAATGAAAGTCAATAGCATTAGTAAAACGGACGCAAATTCGTAAATCCATTTGATCCACCCAACCACTTAATGCTTTCCCGATGGGATCAAGTATGCTGAGGCTAGATAAACAACATCCTGAGTTGGAGGGCTTTCGGTGTTACTCATTCCTAACGCTGTACTTCGTCCTTATATTGTATAGTATGGTATGAATAGGCGGAACTGGGAGTGGACCCAGGGACGGTTGGCGCCTTGATCACTAAACAATTTAGCTCCGCGGTTAGAAGTCCATTGTTGAGTTTTTGAGTGAGAGACAGAGGCATCATAACTAAATGTTACCCGAGGGTGAGAAACACATCTCAGCTAGTGTACCGAAATACAAACAAGATAAGAGATTAGACATTACAGACTACGAAGCTAAAAAAGTAACAATGCCAAAATCAAATGATGCATTGGGTCTAAGATCGATGTTGAAAAGGGATGCTAAAGGGGAGATGAGGGACAAAGAGCTTCACAACACAAACACTACTGAGGTCGGCTCCTCGCCATGTCAGCTAGTGAATCCAATCAAAAGTGTTCATTGTCATTCGGACCCCAGCCCAGTAGTCAGGAAACACCAACCGACGCCAAGTTCGAAGTGAGGGACTTCGTTCCTCTTGACCAAGTCATTGCTTAGCCTCTCGTCCTTTTCTCCCATCCAGAGCCCGGGCGCGCAAACAACGCATGATGCAGGGGTCGATGTGCTGGCATGCGTAACAGATGGCCCAGCAGGAAGACCGTACCGACGCTTCGCTTCCGCGCGACCGATGGTGGTCGCGCATGAGCTCGGTATACAGCGAGGTCGTCCGCATCTTCGCAGCTTTTGAATACACTCTGTGTTACGCGTTGCTCGTTGAATTCAAGGAACGAACGCATCAGCAGTACGCCGGTACGCAGTACCGACGCTTCGCTGCCGCCCAATCCCAAGCGGTCGCACGTGGGCTAAGGATACTGCGAGGGTCGCCCTGCCCCTAAACAAGCTAAAACCCGAACGCAATAATTGTGTCAACCGTCAACCACTACACCCCGGGTTCCATTCTCAGCCCCGGTTGTCTCTATCGGAAGAGTTCAAGCAAGAACTGAACCGATCGCGAGATGCAATGTTGGGAGCCAGCAATACAAAGAAACCATCCACGTTGGGTTCGGTCACCGTGATCGTCACGACCGAGGTTTAATTCCGAGTAAACAGTGGTCCGAGCTGTGGTTCCGCATCGCATTCCAAACACATGACACGTACTTAAAAGCCCAACGATGAGGCTCCTGAATTCGTCGCGCTGAGGTCACAATGAGACTGACGGTTCCTGTTAAAAGGGGGATACAATAATTGGCTCGTTACAGAGTATGCCGACAGCTCGGTCAGTTCCGGGAGTGGAATGGCAATCTGTCCACCAACGGCGTGGACACTAGGCCTATTAGGACCACGTAGTGTGATTAAAATGTGGAAGCCACAAGTTGCGATTAATCGTGATCGAGTGCATATTCCGCGATACAATACAAAGTCGCACAATCAAGCAGGCCTGATGCGACCGCAGGTGACGCACCCGACCAAACCGCAGTATCGAGTTAAAGTGTACGTAGATTTACCACCCTATCACGGATGCCATATTTTCCTTCAAGCAATATTATAAGGTAGAAAACACCGGTTCACTTAAGTGGATCAAATAAGCCACTATCGAAATTGGCGGTACGTTCTTCAAACAGGACTTTTAGCGTCTGCATATTTCATCGAAGGCGAATGAAATTTGCACGGTGTTCGGGGGAAATGGGAAACGGAGTGGACCAGACTCTACGAACACATTCACAGCCTTCGCCAGCCGCCCAAGGTGGCATGTAATCATACGGCCGCTCATGGTGCTTTTTGGCTGATTAGTGGTCCATCCTTATTTTGGTTAACCATATATATCTCCGTCTCATAATATTGTTATTTAGATTTTAATGCCAATTAGACGAGAAAATCTCGTTGCACAAGCAATAACAGGTAAAGTACGGTAAACTCATCTTGCGACGCATCTTCCAAATGGGAAGCAGTGTGATAATTGAGTATGAATTTAAGGAACTATCCGGAATACTGTCATTAAGCAGCCGATGATCACTCAAGGTAATCAAACAATTTCCTGTTCAGGGATTTTCGCTCTAAGTGAACTAAACGGTGATAATGTTTGAAAAATGAAGCCACCGCCGTGTGATTTGCCTCGTTTAATCATTCAAATTGTTTCAATTATGAAATCCCACACGCATACTTCGCGTACTTCTGCAGAGATATTAATTATGGTGCGTCCGATAGGTGTCTACCGATTTTCGGTTTCGTACACTCCAGGTTCAGGTATTGAATCCAAACGATCCGGATAAACGGAATACATTTTGCCGTTGGTTTTTGGATCACATGTGCATTCACTCCGTAATGTTTACGGATGAGTCCGTTTTCCATTTGCATGAAACGGACAAACAACATTTCTGGGCTAGTTCAAATCCACGCAGATACACAGCGTCACGTATACAGCATAGCGCCAAGCTGATGATCTGGGATGGAATTACCGGTCAGAAAACCGTTGGACCATTTTTCTTTTCCGGGAACATGACCGATAAGTTGTTAGAAATTACTCAACTCTTACATCATCGTACTTGCGTACTGCCACAGTTGGAGGCAGATGGAGTTCGCAGCACCATATGGTTGCAGCATGATGGTGCACCAGCACATTACGCTCAATAGGTGGAAGAGTATCTCTGCGAGGAACTCGGCCAACGTTGAACCGGTCGTGGAGGCCCCATCGAGTGGCCCGTAGGGTCACCCGATTTAAACTCGCTGAATTTGTTTCTGTGGGGATATTTGAAACCAATGGTTTACAGAAACAAGCCGATTTCCATTGAGCAATCGCAGCAAAATATTGTAAACGAAGGCTACGCCATCATCACTGCGACGCTGCAGAAAGTGCTTGCTAACTGCATGAAGCGATTTCTATATTGTAGTCAGAATGCAGGTGGACACTTTCAACAGCTTCCACGATATCTATGTCCGTCTAACCCTGCTTCCGTAAATATAAATATCATCGATTGCACATGCACTGAAGACTAAATCGGTCTCCGGACGAATGGTGCTAATGATGGGTCGGGGCGAACTTAATTCTATGAGTATTGCCTGCTACTTCAGTAGTCTGCACCACTCCGAACGCCGTGATAATTTGGGAATATCCGATGAGTAGATTAAAGCCTACATATTGGCGCCGTTGGTGCAAATGTTCTCCAATCCACACCGGAGCCATAAGTAGGAGATTAATAGGGTCTCCGATACGTCGTTTATAGACAAATTAGTTATCGGTCATGGTGCTATTGCACAGCGAGCTTCTTGCTTGTAGCAGAGGCCTCCATTTGGGTACCGTGTAGCTTACTGATCCGTGTCAATGCGTCTAGTCTATGCAAACTCGGTGATCCATATTTTGCTCCGCCATGGCCCCCTTTGTGGGCTGCTACGCAGATGACCGAGAGACTTGATCAGTCAGGTAGTTCAACAGTGCTTCTGGGCAAATAGAATCGACACCATGGTTGCGCAGAGACGTAAGATTTTGCAGGATAGCTTCTGCGGTTGAATCCCTACGTTGGGGTAACAAAAGATGGAAGATCACCTGGTGATAAGACCCACTTAAATGTGGATTCATATTGCGTTCGCGGATTCTATGGTTCAGTGTGTGACATAGATACACTTCTGGGAACAATTGCGATAAGGGCGGTGCTACTGTATGCATCTGAGACTTGATCAGTTCGTACGGAAGACAGTCAGTGCTGCCCTTGCATCCTTTATCTTGCGCTTAACCGTTCATACTTCAATGCGATTAGCTTCATGCAGCTCGTTCTTGCTTCCGTTCTGCTAATACCATATTTAAGTCTAACCACATTTACCTATCATTCTTCATCTTTGTCACTGGCGACGCGATTCGTGGCAACTGTATCCACAGCACTTTGGTGCTCGGATCATAATTTATCAATTGCACTAAAGTGAATTGAAACAACTGGGTAAGCTTCAAGTATCGTAGGTTATTTGGGAAAGAGAAATTTCAGATAGAATTTGGCTCACTTAACGGGAAAGTTAAATACCACCAAGTCGTTATTATTCCTAATGTGATAGGTCTAGTTGAAAAGGGTGCTACTTTCCTACATTGATGCTTTGGAAGCTAGTTTTCAGTACTCAGGCGTGCCCACCGTAACTGTGTTTTAACATTACCTTTGATAAAAAATACGGGCACATCGAAAACTTATTGCTCACATGTACATCAGTCTACCTACCTTAATGGGAACACAGCTGCGATGAAATAGCAGCAGTTGTGCACCACGTGTACGTTCCTCCGATAACGCGATGTCCATTTTTTACCACTGTAGACCCTGTACGTAACGGTAACTCCAGTGCTACGCCTAAACATCGGTCAATACAGAGCCCACAGGCATCCAGCTTTTCCCGAAACATTCTATCCTCAAACAATGACCACAATGTTTCGGTCGTTCAATTATCCGTAGTCTGCGCCTCATCGCGTGCAGCACCGTGCAAGTTGGGGTACGCAGACGCCGCAATTGTGTGCGTAGTGCATCGTATGAGATACGATTGGATCTCCGGAATGTCATTAGAATTCCTCGGGGTTTTCTCAGGGCGCGCAATATGCGGCAATAATAATCGGTAGACACATCCCGGACGAAGCATAGAGCAAAGATCCGGTCTGCGTCTCCTTTTGTCACGAAGATCCTGACTGCTAATGTTATCTTTAGCACCCATGCACACTACTAACTATTGATATCAACCAGATTTCACTCTATAACACACTATTCTAGGGTACTGCTCATGACCGATAAGACCAGAGTATGATCGGCATACGACGGCCGGTCCACTGTGAATTGATAACTGACGATTAGAAGTAATCACAGTGCAGTTTGCAGCAAATGCACGAGATGGATAGCGTATACTGTAAGTAAAATGATTCAAGCTCCGACAAGGTAAATATGACAGTTCGGTCATATTGGTAGATGTTGCTCTCTAAACTGGGTCTACAGGCAGAAATCAGCTCGAGAGTGAAAAAAGTAAAGAAATCGATAGAAACTCCAGTCACTGTCTTATTCGAATTGGTGTCATCCAGTCGCCTCTGGTATACACTTCAATATGTCCTCCTGATGCCGAAGTGATCTAGACCAGATTGATTTCGCTACCTCAGTTACGGATATAAGCAGAAACAGGATAAGCAGAACTGCAAAACCAAGAGTTGCAGTTGTATGCGGAACAAATGATAAGGCCACTTTCACCATCAGTGTGTGCGGAGTTCCTATTGTCATAAATGGTAGAGAAGCAGAACTCACTTGTTTCTTCAACTGTCGGAGAACAGTTTCTCTGAGTTTGTTATATTCCAGAAATTCATGTGTGAAAATAGGAATCTTGAAATCAGGCTGATTGGAAGCCGAATTCCCAATGGATGAAGAAAGTTTGCCACTTCTTCGACCTTTCTTAGAAGCCGATTTTCCCAAGTTTTCGGCCGAAGCAAGCCAATTCTTGTAGGTATCACTCTTCTTGTATTCTGCTAGAGATTGATTGTATTTTTCCCGTTCCACTTTGGCTTGATTGAAGAATTCGGCTTTTTTCTCCGCTGACAGCTTGCTCCACTCGGCCCCAACCACACGATTTCGCTCCCCGAATGGTAAAGAAGCCAACTCTGCGGATTGTAACCGTTGCTGCCTCATAAACAGCATAAATGCAGATGGGGGCTTTCTTGGTGCATTTTTGTCCTTTGGTATTTTGCGCATCTTCACAATGTACAAACAAATAAAGCAATTGTAATGCACCGGAGGAAGCAGCGTGACTGTTGCTTGGAATAAAAGGAAACAATTTCTGCACGTATGCGGGAGTAGAATGTGACACAATATAGGAAAATTACGAACTAAGCGTCGTTAAGATCAGGTGTGCAAGGATACCACTCACTTGTCGCCTATGATAAAAGTACATCGACTGATGCCCGAGAGGATTGGACACTTGCGTTGTAATCCGATCACTGGTTTGAATCTGTCAGCTGTATGCCGTACTGGCGCTTCGCTGCCGCGCGACCACCACCAGTCGCGCGCGGGCTGAGTATATCGCGAGGACGCCCACATCTACGCGGATCCGAATCGGGGATCTTATAGTTGCAAACCAGGTGCGCAGACCACTCGGCCATTGACCGGCATCCGCATAAGTGCGGGCGACCTCAGGGCATATCCAAGCATCGCGTGACTGATGATGGTCGCTTGGCAGCGAAGCGTTGGTACGGTGTACTGCTGATGCCTCACTCTGTGGTGAAAAGTACATGTGTTCTAGACACTTGTAAATGAGCGGTTTCGAAATTATAGTAGGTTCCAGGCCACTGGCATCTCGGTAGCTGATCAAACGCAAGCTTATAAGGAGACCGTGAGAAAACACTTCGTCCTATAGGAGCCTACTGCAGGGCATTTGTGCACTGCCAACGAGACGCGAAAGGTAGTCAAGTAGTGATTGCATTGTTTAAGGATGTTAGCAATGTCCATTAAAAAGAATTGACCCACTCGATAGAACAGTTGTAGGACGATGCTATTCCAGTCAAACAGGGACGAATCGACAGCCGTGTCAATCTTCAGGAACGGCAGTCGCACCATTTGTGATACGCAACTTAATGCTAATAGACGAAGCTACTGACCCCGATTTTGGTCTGCCGAATTGCTGCAGGGTCGGAATACCGGATGCAAGCGGAGCACGCAGGTTTCTTACTAAGAACATCTTGGTTCTGTGTCAGCTACTGGAGCAATGTCACACGGCTACAGCTGAGTGACGTCCCAGGGTCACTTTCCACTCTCCGGTCGAAGCTCCGATAAACCTCGAGCTGCGTACCATACACCGTGTACTTTCTCTGCCTTCCGCATTGAAGGATCACCATGATAGCAAAATTGGCACACCTGGGTACGCTTGGAATTACAAATACGGGTGCAATAAACTGGCCGAAGCAGTGGTTACCGCCTGCCGATAACGAGTGGTTTGACGTCCTAGCAAACGGTAAGATATAGAAATGACACTACAAACACACATTCCAGGCAAACGAATACTAAGAAAGACAGACCTTAATCGCTCCCATCAGACGCGCCATTGGATATTTTTGCTATTCCACCCATGAGCAACATGGAGCCCACACGATCGGACGTTGAGTCCGACATCAGTCTCCGCTCTAGACGACGGAGAAACCGAATCCAATGGCGAGTAAATTCTGTGCAGCTTGATCCAAAGAAGCGGTACAGATAACCAGTTTCTAAAAATGGGTTTATGGAAGTCAGCTTCCCTGAAAATGACAATCTTTTAACTATCAAAAGCTGACGAAGTAGTGTTTGCATTTCCAGTTTTCCCTTCTGTATCGGTATGTTCCGCAAGGACTGTTGCCTCACCCACGCGTTTCTAATTGGTCTGTAGCACTTCATTTACGCCGTCTAACTTTGAACAATCCAGGTTTGCTAAATATCAATCCGTTTTCTGATATGATACACATTCGGACTGTGTTCAACCAGAATGGACCTTAACGAGGTGCGACGGTTTGCGTACCTCCTTGACCCATTGCGCTATACTGGGCGTTGTTCCAGGGTCCCTCGACAACTACTCCTACTAAGTTGGTCCATGGTGAGAGGTCAGACAAACTCAGTCTCCTGGTACTCCAGGTTGGGGGTTTGAAATGGGATGGTGTCCATTTCTGTAAAACTAAATCATTTCCACCTCCCCGCTGCCTTTCGGACAGGCTTTTGAGATAGTGGCTTTCGTTGAGGACCCTAATCGTCCTCCTGTCTAGGTCTAGGCGCCCTGGCAGTATCTCAGCCCACATACAACCATGACAATTTCCCCAAACTTCAACTACGTCCTACATCGACCGTCGCGGATTCTCAAGAGTCGCCTTATCTGCTGCATACAGCAGGGCGGATAAGCGAAAACATGCTACTGCTGGCACGTCCCTTCTTTCTTTTCCACCTGTTTGTCTTACTTCCATCCCGACTCCCATTACTAACCTTCTATAATTTCCAGCCTTAATGACTGCAACCGAAGTGCCACTGGAGTAGAACCATCTGCAGCCACCTTCTCACAACACCCATCGGATGCCTATCGGCAACAGTCTCTTATAAGGCCACGCTATCCCGTTTCCATGGCGGCGTTCAACGTCCGCACTAAGACAAATTGTTCAGTAGGATGCACTCGCACTGACGTTGGACACACTGGGTATTGACGTATGTTGTGTGCCCGAAACTAGGATCAACGACCCTAATGGGGTTGTTGAATTAACTGCGCCCGGCTTGTCCTCTCGCTATTGGTTACACGCATCCGGAGACGCCGATGCAGCACCCACGGGTTAAGCTGGGGTAGGCATCATTCTAAGCTCCAAGGCTGAGCCATTGTTGGTTGATTGGATTTAGGTGAACAGCCGTTTATGTGCAGCCCGTTTGACGACACCAGCTAAGGTTTATTCAGGATGTAGTACGAAACGTTGTTTTTTGTGATTTTCACTTATGCTCCCACGGACTGCAGTTCTAATCCTGTCAAGGACACATTCTATCACGAACTGAATGCCCTACTACGCAGTGCTACTAGTTTAGATATTATAGTACTTGCAGTGGATATGAACGAACAAGCAGGGTGTATGAGCTCTTCAGAAGCGCAGCTTGGTGGTAATTATGGGCTTAACTTCGAGTGGACGGACAACGGCGAGCGTCTGCTGCAACTGTGTGCGGAGCACCAGTTGTTTCTTAGTAGCACTGCTTTTAGACACAGTGGGCGCCGAAGTGCCACTTGGCGTCCTCCCGTAGCTGGTTAGCGATACACCCAAATAGATCACATTGCCATAGATACAGGTGACGTGGTTCCACCCGGGATTGCTGTTCATACTGGAATACCTTCGTCGACTCTGATTATGGCTTATTACGCTGTCGTTTCTCCATGGACTTTACCGGGAGGCGTAACAAGCGTCTCCTCCGATTGGCAACTGTGAAATTGTCTCAGTCCTCGGTCAGACAAGCCTATTGTGACGCATGGCGTACCGAACTTTCGCTTTCTCGTACTAATGACACTGAACTTCAGTGGAATAGGATCTCGGTCGCCATGCACGACGCAGGAGCTTCTGCTTGGGGCACTATCCATCGTCCCCGCACCAGTCACTGTATATCCGAGAGGTCGGTGAACTTGTTGGAATCCGGAAGAAAACTACCGGCTGGTTCTGCGCACAATGTGACCAGGCGGGCCATCAGGCGTGAACTAAAGCGAGCCTACATGCTGACAAAGAAGCCTGGTGGACCAGTCGGGCTCAAGAAATGGAGGAGGCAGGAGCAGTAGGCAATTACCGGAAGCTCTTCCATCTAATCCGCACCACTGGTCCCAGAAAACCAGGTGTCAGTGAGACAATCAGAGACAGCTCGGGTGCGCTGATACACAATAAGGAGCGCCGTATGGCTCGTTGGGCGGAACACTTTCAAGATCATTTCAGCTGGCCCCCTGCTTCCGGACCTCTTCCTACTCAGGTGATGCAGGACGAGCCATGGACGGTTAGTTTAGAGCCTCCGTCGGAGGCCGAGGTCCGAAACGCGATTACAGCCCTCAATGGTTTTCGTGCTGTTGGCCCGGATTCCCTCCCAACTGCACTATTTAAGGATGGAGGTGAGGTCCTCTACGAAGTACTGACATCCCTATTCGAACGTATCTGGAAGAAAGAGAGTGTCCCGGCTACCCGGAGCGAATCGATTATAGTGGCAAAATACAAGAAGGGCAGTCGCACAAACAGCTCTAACCACAGGGGTATTAGCCTAACGCCAGTTGTGACAAATTACTGGCCTCGATTCTCGTTCGTCGTTTCACTGTGGAACAGAAATCTAAGAGTAGGGAGGAGCAGGCAGGTTTGTGCCCAGGAGGTGGCTGCATAGACCATATAATCACTCTGTGGCATATGCTAGAACAGCGCCACGCATACCACAGGCCGACAATAGCTGTGTTCCTCGATTTCAAGAACGCGTTCGATTCAGTCGATTGATGCATTCTGTTTGAAATACTTGTGCGGAAAGGTATTCCCACGAAAAAGGGGAACATCTTACGTGCTCTAACTCGAACACTGCAGGCCGCGTCAGGGTCTACGGTGACCTGTCGGATAGCTTTCCGACCACAAGTAGCGTTCGTCAGGGTTGTCCGATTTCCCCATTTTCGTCGTGGATTCTATCATGGAGTGTTCCCTTGCGGAATCTTATGATGTACGCGTTAAGCTTCCGTCTGGTGAAAGGTTAGTTGATCTCGATTATGCGGATGATATCGTCTTGCTTTTCGACGATGCTGCGGCGGCACTATCTACTCTGAATAGCATGTCTAGAGTGTCCCTATTATTTCGTATGCGCTTCGCACATTCAAAGTGCAATGTTGCTGAAGGACCACCGGCCATTTTATGACACAATGACCCTTGCTAACAAGGAATTCGAGGTGGTTGATCATTTCACATATCTTGGCAGCTGCGTCCGCAACGATGGGCGCATAGAAACTGACGTCAGCTCAATCACTGCAAAGGCCAGACTGCCTTCTTGAACCTGCGGCAACTTTGGCGACAGAAGGGGATTTTCCTCTTTCTGAAAGGCCGAGTATACAAGGCCACAGTGAGGGCCGTTCTGCTCTATGGTAGTGAGGCTTGGCTCCTTCGGTCTGAAGGTCTAAAGCGCCTTCAAGTCTTTGATAACCGTTGTTTGCGAAGCATTGCTGGTGTCGGATGGCACCAGCGTGTCCGCAACGATGATGT